TGGAAGAGCCTCCACTAGCCACTAATACAGCGTTTCTCAACCTTTCTAATGCTGCAACCCTTTAATATAGTTCCTCATGTTGTGGTGACCCCAACCATAAAATTATTCTCGTTGCTACTTCATAACTGTGATTTTGCTATTGTTATGAATTGGGTGACCCCTGTGAAAGGGTCCTGACCCCCAGAGGAGTCGTGACCCATAGATTGAGAACTGCTGCACTAATATTAACATTTCTGACACGGGGCAACCGTCTGGCTATTCCATCTCACCTAACATGGGTTGCTGGATATTCTCAAGTTGGTTTAAACCAATGATTTTTAGCTCCAGGCTCACAGAAACATAACCTAGAAACATCATAAATGCAGATTCTTGGGCCTCAACCCAGATCTACAGAATTAATAACTCCCCCATATTCTAACAAGCCCTTCAGGGGATTCTGAGGCTTGCTAAAGTCTGAGCACCACTGTTCTAAGATGTGTCGGTCTGAGAACAGCATCAGTCAAAGAATGGCCTGCAGGGTTCAAAGCATGGGTAGCTCCCTCTGGCTCCTTTATGTCAAAGGGGGCCAGCTTCCTGAGAAAGCCAGCTCAGGGAAGAAGTCCCAATTGACAATATGACCCCTACTTCAGTTCAAGTCAAAGGTACACTTTCAAGTTTTGACTAGGGCAGAGGCAAACAAACAAATTCCTTGGCTGAAGTACACAGCCTCAGTCTTGGACCAGAAAAATGTTTTCTTTCCTTTGGGAGGTATCAGAGAGAAGAAAAAGAATGATAGCATAAGTCACTTCTGGACGTTTTCTACTCTAGATCTGCTAATACCTTATCACACATAATGAGGAAACCGTGACTGTTCAGTAAATACTTGGTTCAAGAAATGTACCTCTAGCTTCTTAAATTAATGTTCCAGGTTAAGTAGGGTGGCCCACGAGATCTCTGTTAACCAGAGAAAGATGACAGAAGGTGCTTACAAGCTACTGCTATCCTTGCATTTTTTTACTAGCCAAAGACTCTCTGTAAGGCGATTTGCCCACTCAATAGCCTACCCAATTCTGGTGGAGTTAATAGGAACCTTAGCTATCACTTAATGAGACTCAAGTTTTGTGAAGGAGGACCTACAAGTCTGAAATCCAGAGGTCAATTTTAAATGGTAACTGCACTGAGCTTGAGGTGGTCTTAAGAGAGGTGGAATTCCCATGCATTTTCCATCACTAAGGATACAGGTCCTTGAGTTGTTACGAAGCAATGTGGAGGATCTTATCTCAAACACAGAAAGCAAGCGTACTGGCTTGGAAGACACTTAGACTTTGGGCAGTAGTCATCATCTCTACATATTAGATGCACTAACAATGTTGATGCAACTTTGCCCCCTACTTTGCATGAACCACCTGGGTATCATCAGTGGGCTTGCCAAAGAAACAGAAACAAGGGGCATGGACAATGCTGGTGTTAGCCTAGCTGAGCTGAAGAAGCAGCTGTACGCACAACAGGCAGATGAAGGAGGCTTTAATCTTGGCATGCTCCCCCATCTGCAGTCCAGTAAGAAGTCTCGGAAGTCACTGGTTACCTAAGTAGCGGCACATAGGACAGGCTGTAGAGCTAGTAAGCAGTTGCTTTGAGAAGGCTAGAACCTGGCCGCCAAAGCTGTTCACTGCCCCTAACCCTTTGTTGTGAAGGTAGCTGTCCAACACCCTCAGCTATTTGAGAATGCTAATCATCTTTTTCTTTTAATCATTTCATTGGGGGCTCGTACAATTCTTATCACAATCCACACATTTATCCACTGTGTCAAGCACATTTGTACATCTGTTGCCATCATCATTCTCAAAACATTTGCTTTCTACTTAAACCCTTGGTATCAGCTCCTCATTTTCCCCCTCTCTTCTTCCCTCCCTTACAAGCCCTTGATAGTTTATAAATTATTATTTTTTCATGTCTTACATGGTGGGGTGGAAGGTGAGGGCTAGGTACCTTGTTCCCTCGCTGAGCTCCAGTGGAGGATTGAATGGCTTTCTTATGCTCGGGGTGGATTCTCTGGGCCAGAAACCTACACTCACCCACAGACAGAGCTGTTTTTCTGCATGGGCAAAGACTTGGAGAAAATAGCAGCTGCAGCTGCTTTCCTGCCAGGTGTGAGGCCAGAAACCAAATCAGTTCCATTTTCCTTAAGGTCTAAAGCCCAGGATCTCTTTACAGCGGCACTTAAAGCAAGATGCAGGTCATCGCGAAGAGAATGCCCAGGGACTTTCCCAGGTGTTGGCATGGGCAGCATCAGGGCCTCTGTCCTGCCCATAGTTCTGTGCTGCCTTCTGAGAGCAGTTTGTCACTAGTGCCGTGTCGGCTGCACTGCCTACAGGTGGGGAATGGAGTGAGGTACAGGCTTTCTCCACACCATAGCAGAGGTTCACTCTTGTCTGCCCTGCCCCCACCATCCCCAGTTACCAGAATGATCTTTTAAAAACACAAGCATGATCCAACCATTCTTTAAATCTCTTTAGTGACTTCTCATGGCTCAGAACTGTCAACAAAACCTAGGCAGCACTGCATGAGCTGGCTATCGTATACCTCTACAGTTCCACCCCCGGTTAGTCTTCACTCAAGCCCCCTCTACTCCGCGCCAAATGAGGCAAATTCTTTCCTGTTTAAGAGCCTGCAGTTCCTGTCCTGTCTAATTCACTCCCCAGGCCTTCCTCAGAGGGCTTTTCTGCCTTCACGGGATGGATTCAAGTCATACTCTGATTACATGATGCTATTTTCCTTCATTGCCCTGGCACCGGTGTCGTGTTATGGCCATGCGCACCGTTACAGGATGATGCTCTTCATGCTCACAGAACAACAAACTTCACAAGGGCAGGAAATGTATCCACTTCGTTCTCAGTGTCGAGTGTGGTGTCTGCCAATTACGTACTCCACAAATCCTTTTAAACGAAAGGGAAAGTGGGAGAGAGGAAGGAAGGAAGGAAGGACAGAAAGTGGGGGTAGAAAGCAAGGAAGAAGCAGGGAGGGAAGGAGGCACGGAGGCCCCACTGGGGGCCAGTTGGGAAGATAGTTGATTCCGCTTCTCTAGTGATTCTTTCCTGAGGCCTTAATGCTGGAAGCATCAGAATTTTGTTCAAGGGAGAAGTTCACATGGGTCATCAGAGTAATGGGGGTCTGAGGTGAGTATTAAGTTCAGAGAAAAATGATATTGGGCAAAACATGACTGATGATCACTTGGAAGTGTGCTCGAGGCTGGCTGTCAGCAGCTACTGTCCGGACTGCATCCCTGGCTCATTCCATTCAGTGCAAGTCATCAGCGTAAACTCAGGTCATGACAAAAATGTACATAGTGAATTGTGCTGTGTTGTGTTGTGCAATATGGACTCATGCGGTTATGCAAGGTACATGAACATACATTGTACATATAAAGAATTCTCAATGCATTTATGAATAAATGTAATAAATAAAAATAAAAGTTTTGCATTTTTGTAGTTGGTAGATCATTTTGATTTGATCATTGTATAAGTAGTTCGCATGCCTACAAAATGTGAGCCCCCCTGCCTTACACTGTTGCTGTATAGGGAGGAGGGGGGCTTCAAAAAGTTCTTGGAAAAAATCCTTTATCTTTTAATGCTATCATTTGACATATCTTTTGAAGCCCCCTTGTATATAGAAATATATACTGCCACAATAGCAGAGTAAACTGGTAATCTTGCATATAAATCACTTTCTGGTTAAATCTGAATACACTAGCAAGACTGAATAAAGTCTGAGTTTACACAGCTTCATAGCTTAGGAGACTTGGACCAGGATGTCTTGCCCATGTGTGACATAACTGGTCAGCTGGCTTTCTCCCTCCCCCACTGCGCTATGGCAACTTCTTTTGAAATTCAACTTTTTGAGTCAAGTTATCAAGTTCCTAACTAACACATTGTTTCATATGCTACCCTCTCCTTGACTCTAAGGGACAGGGAAAGTGGCTAGGTCATTTTCTCATCTCTTACTGAGTCTTGCCCAATGATTCAAACAGTAAGTGATCTAAAACTTATTTAATAAATATTGCCATGTTGCGTAGGTACCGGGAGTTATTCCTCCAATGGCATTGTTAACTTTTTGAGAAAAACAATTTTATACTCAAGTTTCTTCTGAAAAAAAAAATAAGGGGCTGGACTAAATAATTTCTAAGGTATTTTCAAACTGTAAACGCATAGGACACAAACACAGACAGACACACACACACACACACATACACACATACACGCATACAATTATCTATCTGGTAGAATTTTTGACACATAGTAGGAACTCAGTAAATGTTTGAAATGAACTGATTCTTACATAAACACACTTCAGTTGAGAAGAAAATCAGGGATGTGTTTCTGAACCTTCAACTAAATTACCTATGAATTTAACATTACCTTAACCATAGAAGAGGAGCCTTACTCGTATAGTGGTTACACGCTGGGCTGCGCTCCCCATGGTCAGAAGTTCGAAATCACCAACAGCTCCTTGGAACAAAGACTGAGCTTTCTACTCCCGTACAAAGTTACAGTCTCGGAAACCCACAAAAGGTCAGAATGAGTCAGCATTGATTCTATGACAGGGAGTTTGGTTTGGTTTGGTAAACAGAAAGGAAATTTGTTGTTAAATGAATTCCTAAAGTAAGTACTTTTACATTAGTTAGAATAAAATAACTCATTAATTTGATCCCTTAAGTTTCAGTTTTACATATTAAGGTTGCTGACAGTGGAGTTAGTCAGATTGGTAGTTTATAGTTATGAGGAAGCCAATTAGTTTAGTATTGACCCAATAAAGCTATTCTTCAGAGAGAATTGTTCCTCTCTCTGTGGTTTCCCAAATGACCTCCTACACAGACAGACAGACACACACACACACACACACACACACACACACACACAATTTTTTCCCTTACAGCACAACTTATATTCAACTTCAACCCTGATTACAATACTACCCATAAATGTTTCACTTTGCAATACTCCTTCCATTTACTCACGTCTCACCATTTCTCAAAATAGATATGCCATCCATGGAGTCAGGATCATCCATATTGTCTAGCCTCTTCAAGATGTTTGTCTCTGGTGGTAGCTTCTGCATAGGCATGCTGGAGGTTGAAACTTCCCCCTCTGGGAAGCAATAGGTGTAGGTCCTCTTTAAGGTAGGATCCAGAGAAGAGAATGTTCCTTATACCCTTCCATTCTCCCCCTGCCCCCCACCTATCCAAGGCCTTATTTTCCCATAAATCCCATGAAACACTGAGAAAGGATTAGTCTTCTCAGAAAGTATCTAAGAAAGTTGAAATTTCTTGCACAACCTAAATGGAGGAAATGCAGGACACATACAAGGTATTTTGAGACTGAGGTGAAGAGGAGGCTATTTGTCTTTGAAGCTTAGATTTACCTTACAGATTTGGGAGTTTGTTGCAAATACAGTGGCAAGGAAGACTCCCACAGAGGAGGTCAGACAGGTTGTAATAAATCATAAATCCACTTCCAGCTCCTGGATGTTGGTTCCTGTTTCCCATCAACTCCTGAGTCTTCCCAGTCTGCCTAAGGCATCACCCCAAATACCAGGCTACACTCTCACCTGACACTTGTACAAGAAAGAAACATGACTCAGTGGCAAATATTTTATGATAGTGGGCCTGGTCTGTTGGCCCCTGAAACCTGTATTTTATGCTAGTAAGTTTCATGTGCTATATTGAGACTTCCTGCAAGAGGACCCATTCCCTGTCACTGGGGTATGATAGGGAAGAAAGACAAGGCTCTCTACTTTTGAGAAGAGTTACAGTCTCAGAAACCTACAGGGGCAAGTCTACCCTGTCCTACAGACTATGATCAACTTGATGCCAGTGGGTTTTTGTTGTTTTCCCCTTGGGGTATGATCAGGAGGTGATAGTACCTGTGCTCTGAGGAGTCCTGATTGACCGGCGAGATTGAATCATACACATGAAAAATTTCAGATGAAATTCCTCGTTATGCATGGCTGTCTCCTAAAAGCTTACTCTATCCAGATGAACACATCTGTGAAATGATGAAGATGGATAAAATGGACATGTACCAGGTATGTCCAATATTACTAGGTTTTTAAGACCCGACCAGGTAAAAATATCAGCATAGGGTAATACAAATAATTTACATGACTGAACTCATCAAGCATACGTTTTCTAGCTACTGAAAATATTTGTAAGTGTATGAGCAACCAGAGATGTCTTTTCCTAGACACTAGAGATGTCTCTTATTCAATTCTAAGTTCACATTGTGGCTCTCATCTGGCTCTGGCAAGACTATACAGAAGTACTTCTCCAAGATTTCTAAACAGAGCCTGGGTCCAGAGGCAAGTCAAACTGGGGAGGCTTGGAAAACAGTCTGAATGAACCACTATGGTATTTCTTCCCAGGGTCATCTAGTCCTTCAAAGCCCACAGACTACTGGGGCTTTTCCTAGATAGTCCCAGAAAAGTGGCTCTCTAGTGGGTTCCCAACAGACCCAAGGGGTGCAGTGGGGGCGAGCGCCAGGTTGCTAAACCATAGGTCACGTGGTTCCAGCCTTCTGGAAAGATTTAGTCTTGGAAGTCCGATGGAACAGTTTTATTATTTCTATCACTGTGAGTCAGAATCAACTTTGTTTTGGTGGGTCCTTTACAGGTTTCCTGCCACCGCCTCTGGAAGGTCCTAACTGCTTCCCAGTCTAGCCTAAACCCTCCAAACCCCAGGGAACGAATAGGTCAAGTAAGCATAAGGTAGTGAGAGTACTGGACTGTAAATTAGGAAACTCCTTCCTAGACCCAGATTTGCCATGCACTTCATAACGTGAAGAAATAGGAAATATCTTCATTTCTCTGGATCCCTTAGCCTAAAAGATCTCCAATAGCCCTATGGAAGCACTAACGTCCTGTGATTTTCAACAAGGCGGGGAATAGTCTAAGATTCGATGTAGCTCTCGGGTCTCATCCGTCAGGGAAGCCACAGGTCCTCGCAGACTGAGGGTCAGTGCGGGAAAACTGCCATGGAAACCGAAGCACAAGCAAAAAGCGCCGTGCGGAACTGTTAGGCGACGGGTCAGGAGAGCGAGGGAACCCCGAAAAGCGGAGGACAGGTGGCGCAGTAGCGACATTCGGAGGACGGCGAGCAGAAAAGACCCTAGACTGAAAGGGAGCCAGGACTACAGCCTCCGAAGCTCCCTCGGAGGCTCCACTCCCGCCACGCCGCGGGGCCTCACGGCGGCTCTGTAACCTCCCGTGCCACCCTGCCCTCCCGCGCAGCCACCGCACGGCTCTTCCGGTGAAGTGGAGGCGCTTCCGGTTCGCGGGTTTCCCGGGCTTGGCGCTCCGCGCCGGACCGGAAGTCCCTTCGCATTGCAGCCGGTTCCGGTCGGGTGAGTGGCGGCGGGAAGCTGGGGGAGGGGTGAGGATGGAGGGCGCCTGGGCCGCGAGGCAGCGCTGGGCCAGGTCCGCGGGCGTCGGTTGGGCTGGGCGGAAGTGGGGACGGCGGGGGGTCCGGCGCCTTCTCCTCTGCCCCGCCCCCCGGGGCCGAGCCCCCTGCCGTCCTCCGGCCGGAGTCAGGCCGGTGGCGGTTGACGAGGCTTCTAGAGGCCGTTGCTTCAGGCTCTTCCCTCCCGGGCCGCGGAGCGAGGTGGCCGGCCTCCCTCGCCCTCCTCGGGGAAAGGCCTGCTGGGGTTCGGGAGCTTTCCCGCCAGAGCCGAGCTCTCGGCGACGAGCTCCGGTGGATGGGAAGCTCGGCTCTCCCGGGAGTCCCGCCTGCTTGGAGACCCGAGTGATCTTTTCCGACTACACCTGCGTCTCACGCAAACATTTCTTCAGCCGTGCTTACCATGGGCTATCTCCCTGAGGCGGGATAATCGCTAGTGCTACCTCCAGAAAGAGACGCCAGGACCCTCCTGTCCAGTGTGTGAAAATCCCCGTAACTGCCAGTTTGCTTACCCGACTCATCGCCACCTGGTAATTCCCCCGCACTGCCTCTTTCGTGGGGTGCAGTAACATGACTTCTGGGTGGGTGCCCAGTTTCTCTTGTCTTGAGCTTGGTGATCCCTGCTTATCGGCGCCTCTGCAGTGTTTCCACTATCTTGCTGGCTAAAACCGGCTCTTTTATCACTTTCAAGTCAGCCTGCTTAAAGTAGTTTCACGTTTGATATTCTTCACTGTATGATGTGTGGGGTGGTGATCTTGTAAAAGCATAGGAAACCTTTCTAGACTACCAACTGTTGGACTTAAGGTCTTTGTTCCAATTGGCTGTTTAGGGTAGAGCGGCTCTCATCCTCTTCTGAATCTTTGTTTTCCATATAGATCATTTGTAATTAGGTGTTGAGTACAGGTTGAACGGCATTCCAAAATTGCAGTTGACGGTGGAACTTTTCAGGATCTCCTTAACCTTTGAGGTTTCTTTTCTTCCCCTCTCCCCCAATCCCCTTCAGGATGCTTCATTTTGTTTTAAATCTTAAAATGCTTCCTTGTTCTGACTTGATTCCAGTTAGTTATCCTGATGGCCAAGACGGTCTTGGTGTCATCCATTTGAGGGGTTAAACGTCTGGAAGGGAGTGCATGGATACAGGTTCTGCTACTTCAAGCCGTGTTGATGTAACTCTTGATAACTGCTTTTGAAACTCCTCCTTTTCTTCCCCTGGACTCCCTTTCTTCACCGGTGTCATTGTCTTATTAGTGTATCTAGGTGGATCTGGCTCCCTCCGTTTGACAGTGACTTTCTCAGAGACAGGGACTGGGTCTTCTCTTCTTACCCCCGGTACCCGGCCCATTGCTGGCACAATGCTAGCTTGTTATACAGAGCCTTTACCATTAAGATGTCAGAGCCTTCTCAGGAGAGATTACATTTAATAGTATGAGAAACCCAAACCCATGTCTATTGGAAATGGGTCATATACATAATTATTTCCCAGCACTCAGGGCTGGGTGATTCATAGGATTATTTCCACACCCTCCCCATGTCATAAATTGCCCTAACCACATCTTGACCTGGATCAAGTTAATGATTCCTCTTCAATATGTATTTTCACTGTGTAACTTCAATATAGCTCCGAACATTCTCTTTGAGAGTCACTGCTTTGCTTATATCCAAGCTTATAAATGCTTGAACCTATTTCCCATATTTTGTTGCAGTCAGGACCCTGCTATCCTTTTAGAGATTCTTACCTAACTTGACCGCACTGGAGTACATGTAACTTTATATTTTTTCAGTAAGTTAAATGACCAGTGGGTGTACTATAAAGTGAACTTCTATTGAATAATTTTCTTAAAATTATACTTGCAAATATGTTTGTGGTATAAGATAGGGAAAGTCAAAATCGCAGACTACAATTACAGACTTTTTTACATTTGGATCCATTTCTTCTTTCTCAGATGCTGATAGATTGTAAATGCTTTTCACTGGTGGCATCAGAGGTTCCACATCCAGTATTTCATAGAGCATTTGGGGATAAATTGCCCCCTCTCCTTCTGTAATTGTAAATCGACACAAGAAATGACCATAGCACACTGAAGAAATGAGATGTATGTGTGTTTTAATTATGTATGGGGCTTTACTTATTTAACAATATGAGTCAGTATGAATTCCCCAGTATTAGTTAGTGATTACTCTGATCTTGCCAGTGTGTATAAAGCTATGTGAAGCTTGTTGAAGGCTCACTTGCCCAGGAGTCAGAATACTTGGATTCTTGTCTTTGCTTTGCCCTGCCTGTATGATTTCAGACAAGCCATTTAGCTTTAAAATTCTGTGAATTTCTAGCTTATTTCCCTTTTGACTTTCACCTTAGCAAAATGCAGGCTTTTAAACTTGCATTCTTAATATAGTAGAAAAGTGATGACAATTTTGAAGGTGACCTGTAAGAGTGAAATGTGAAAAGGCCACTGTTAATTTCTTTGCTGGTGTGGTTCCCTACCCACCCTCCCCCCACTCCATCCCATAATCTGGGACACAGAGGACTGCTATATTATAAAAAGGAAGAAGGGGAAAGAATACTTTGGATGTTTTCCAGATAGAAACCTTTTGTGAAATCAATATATTTGAAGCCAAAATCTTAGGCTTACATTGGGAATCCTTTCTGGCAGAGCTAGGTGGTCAGATGATTACTTGGTCCGTAGCTATGCCAAGAAAAACTCAAATAGTCGTCTTCTGTGTGTGCACTCTGTTATCGTGACCACAAAGAATGCCTGCTAGCATCATCCAGTCTCTGTGATAGATTGAGACCCTGGTGTTGCTAGCTAGTTGAAGTGCTCGATCCTACTGGAAATAATGATAGGATTATGAATATATATATATATTTAAGTGTGATCATTACATCCCTGGTTTCCCTTCTTGGGAATCTGCCAGGAAGCTGTGTGCCAACAGCAGTATGTTTATCAAACTATTTTCACTCACCCTCCCACCCCCCCGGAAAAACAGATACATCAGAAGAGAAAGTAATTTCACATAAGCATAAGGGCTTTGGTTGCTAGCTGTTTAATTGATGCTGGGGAAAATACTTATTACTACTGTGAAGTATTCCTTGATTATTCTCAGAATATCAATAGCTTTAAATTGGCCACAGAATAAGACACGTGGGGAAAAAGTCTTGATAGGACTACCACAAGTTCTGCCACTTGTTTATGAGATAGTTTAGCCTGAGGTAACTGATTGTGCCTCAAGCATAAGGCACTGCTAACTATGACCAATGCAAGTCACATAATCTTCCAAGGGTTTCTCTTAGCCTTTTAATAGTCTGATTCCTGGGATTGCTGTTCAGTGGAGCACAGGCTATGGAAGCCCTGGCAGCTACCCCAGTGTGGCTCTGGTTTTCAGTCTTCTTCCGTCCAGCCAACTCTCACAGCTAAGTGCTTCCTATTCTTTAATGGTATGAAGTAGGTGTTTCAGTATGTAATGTTTCTGTTTTTTCGTCTTTTGTAGGACTTTGTGTTCTGCTAAAGTGATGTGAAAAGACCTGACATGGGTAAGGCTAACAGCAAAGTAATCATTTGATCTTACTGATTAGTCAAACTGAGTGCAGGAATGGTTTTTCCTTACATTTTCAACAACTGCATCTTTGTACTTAATGCTAGCCCTAATTAATACTAGATACCAAGCATCATTTTTTTTGTTGGAACATTGTGTGTAGAGTCCTTTAGAAGCTTTTTTCCTTCCATTTATTGTATGTGGAGAAGAAAATTATACACTAGCTAGCATTGCTATGTATCAGGCCCAATTCTAAGCACTGAAAATATATTCACTTATTTAATTCTTACAATCACTCTATTAGAGTGTCTAAAAGTACTTAGAAAATAGGTACTACTGGAAGGGTGGGGGGAGGGTGGGCTGGAAAGGGGGAACGGATTACAAGGATCTACATGTGACCTCCTCCCTGGGGGATGGACAACAGAAAAGTGGGTGAAGGGAGACGTCAGACAGGGCAAGATATGACAAAATAATAATTTATAAATTATCAAGGGTTCATGAGGGAATGGGGAGTAGGGAGGGAGAGGAAAAATGAGGAGCTGATGCCAGGGGCTTAGGTGGAGAGCAAATGTTTTGAGAATGATGAGGGCAATGAATGGACAAATGTGTTTTACACAATTGATATATGTATGGATTGTGATAAGAGTTGTATGAGCCCCTAATAAAATGATTCAAAAAAAAGAAAATAGGTACTGTTACTATCCCTATTTAACTAACAGGAAACAGACACAAAACTTAGGACACGTGTGTAGGGTCACAGAACTACCACTAGTAGCTGCAGGGGATAATCCAGGCCGTCTTTTTCTTTAGTTCTGCCATATACTGTTTCTTAAATAATAATTTGCTACAGTTTTTTATTTTATTTAGCTATAGCACTGAGCATTATTGTGGCTGCACTGTTTTTCACTCATCCATAGTACTTTATGTCTGTAAAAGGGATCAATATAAGGGCAGGACAAGTAGTCAACTTGGAACAAGGTGGAAAACGTGTGTAGAATTAAGTATTGTAATATCCCATGTTCATCTTCTAGTTTAAATTTAGAAAACATTCGTTTCTTCTCTTTTTCTCTTGCTTAGCATATCATCTCTTTCCGTCTTTCTTGCCATCGGTCTCCATTCTCGTACGTTGCTCACATCAGAGAAAGTCACGGCGTTCCCTTCACTCGTGTTTTCTTACTGCTGTCTCAAAACAAAAAAAAGTAAACTCCTGCCATGGTAGTATAGTGATTGAGCAGGTATCTGTTAATAACCATGCCGATAAATTATCCTTTTTTAAAATTAAAAGATCTTTTTATTGGGGACGCTTACAGCTCTTTTAACAATCCATACGTCAATTGTAGCGAGCATATTTGTACATATGTTGCCATCATTATTTTCTAAATATGTTCTTTCTATTGAGCACTTGGTATCAGCTCCTCTCTTTTTCCCTCCACCCCACCCCAAATTATACTTTTTACAGGAAAATAAAAATCTTGCAATAATTTTCAAAACACCTATTCAAGTTAAAACAGGTAGTAAGCCAATGTTAATAGTATTTTTTTCTGTATAGGGATATTCCCCACCAAAATCTTTTTATAGTTAAATATTTTCTATAGGTAAGGCATTTTAAGACTTCTTTCAAGAAGCTGTCATTGTTCTTGACGGCAGTGGAAGTGATGTCCTAGGGCGATGATGGGTAATGTTCTCTAACATAAAATGACAGGATGCCTTTAAGGCAGCGGTTCTCAACCTGTGGGTCACAACCTTTTTGGGGGTCGAACGACCTTTTCACAGGGGTTGCCCAAGACCATCGGCAAACATTATTTCTGATGGTCTTAGGAACCCACACACCGCTCCTCTGACTCCAGGCTGGCCCGCCCACTTGCAGATACGCTCACATACGAGTACCCAGCGTGAAGACTGTTAGCCATGCTACACCATACTTCAAGACAACATCTCATTTATTTGTCATTAGAAATGAATATTTCACAATGTATAATCCCATATTGTTTTTGTGATTAATCACTATGCTCTAATTATGTTCAATTTTTAACAATGAAAATGCATCCTGCTTACCAGGTAAATTTATATTACGATTCATAACAGTAGCAAAATTACAGTTATGAAGTAGCAACGAAAATAATTTTTTGGTTGGGGTCACCACAAACTGAGGAACTGTATTAAAGTGTCACAGCATTAGGAAGGTTGAGAACCACTGCTCTAAGGTGAATCAGAGCCATGCATAAACATAGAAAGCATGATTGAATTTGGGCTTGCACTTAGTTCTAGCCCTAATCTAAGAACTGTTAGTTCTTATGACATGGTCCTGTGTGGTGCTCGCCATCATGAAGAGATCACTGAAGATAAGGGTGCTACAGCAAAGTGGATTAATGCATATGCAGTTAGGGTAAGATTTAGCACTCTATCGTTTGCTCTCCCATATGATCCACTTAAATGTGTTGTAGTTTTTAATATTTTCTGCTTTCTGTCCAGTTGAGATTATTTGTTTTACTGTGTTATTGTTTTTGTTTGTTTTTAAGGTTTTTCTTTATATCAAGTTGCGGAGAGGTAAATCTAGAGAGACAGTAACGGGGTATGGCAGGAGAAGTTGGGGGGAAATGAAAAACTAATAACTGAGTACAAAAATGAAGACAATGTTCTAAAACTTATTCAGTGATTGTTTTACAACTCTTCTTGATGTGATTGAACTACTTAATTGTATGATATGTGAATTATATGCCAATCAAGTTGTTGAAAAAGTCATTATTTTTAGAGCTTTGAGTTACACTGCCTTAACATTTGTACCAGGTTTGAAGTATTTGGTAGCTGTTCCCAAATCAATTCCAGAGAGCCAGTTTCTGCACCTGGACCTCTTTTGATAGTGAAAATTTCTTCCCATTGGTTAATTTTGAAGGAGGGTTTTATCTTACTGTCGAGTTGTTTGTTACGAATCCTGTTAGGCAAAAAACTGATTCACAGGAAAAATTTTTTAGAATTATGAGACTTGAAGTAATTTGCCTTCTTTCTCCAGATGATATTCCTGATAGAATGAAGATGGATTTCGGAGAAGTAACTCTAATGAACCACAACTCCGTATTCAAGGCTCATCTGCTACCACAGACAGGGTTATCAGAGGACCAGCTCTCAGTTTCTGATCATCAGGTTAGGAATAATTTTCTTCCCCTTTATTAATTCATTACATTGGCTTATCTTAAGTTTTCATCCGACTGAGCTTTTCCACAAACTCACCTGTAGCCCTTGGACTTAAGGCTGAAACTAGAGTGGGAAGAAGCAAATGACTGCTAGCCCAAGCAGATAGAACTGTTGATCATTGGACTTTGGTTCCGATCTCTTGCCTTGAGGGTGCCCAGTGGTCACCTGGGATTACCATATAGTTACTATTTTAATGCCCTCCTTTATTATGATATATATTAATCTGGTAGGCATGGTTCTATCACTGTCATTGAATGTTATTGAAAATTTTGCCTTATCACCAACTCCCATTGTGTGTGTAGTGTCCAGTCACTTAAGAGTTTAATCTGTACAAGTCAACAATTTATGTATTGCGGTTTGTAGCCAGCCTATACTTGTATGATTTCCTTAAAAGTTTTTTGAAGGTTTTCATCTGATGTAGTTTAACTGCCACTAAAAAGTACAAGTATATAGAAAACCTTTTTAGAATCAAGAATTTGAGTACAGTGATACCTCACTTGTAAAACTCAGTTTGTTCCAAAGTCATGTTCAACATCGAAAGTTTGAGAACTGAGCATATTTTTCCTATAAGAAATAATGGAAAACCAAATAATTGATTCTGAAGCCCCAAAATAATACTTATAAAATTCATTTTTCCAGGACTTTAACTCAAAGTTAACAGCCCTACGTTTGAAAATACCCCCTAAAACATCTAAGCACTACAAATATAGTACATTAAATTTCAAAACACAGTACAGTAAGTAAAATTAAGTCGCATTTTTCACAAATAAAGTGCACAAAAACACAATAACAAATGTTTTAACTCACTAACAGAAGCACTATGTGTTGTCTGCGCAAGAGCAGTGCTTAGACTGAAGCATCGCCCTTTTGCGTCCTGGGCAAGCCTCGATGTGTGACTCACTCTCAGCCTGTACACGTTTTTTCATGTTGGATTTTCAGTTTGACTATGGAACAAAGTTAATGAACACTGAGCAGGGTTTTTTTTCTGAACTTTGCTGTTGTGGTAGTGGAAGGTTTGAGCATGGAGCTATTTATTCAACAACCAAAGTATCACTATTTGGGATTCTGTTGTGTTTATTAAAGATAAGAAGTCTTTAGTGAGTCTCTTTGATTTAACTAATTCAACATTTTTATTGGCACACATTTACATATCATATAATTGAATATTTCATTTGTTCCATCCTTTCGAGGGGAATTGTACAATCAGCACCACATTTGTCTTAGAGTATTCCCCTAACTGAGTTTTTTGAGAGCCGTATTTTATAGAAAATTCTTCATTGTTTCTGTGAGTCCTACAATTACCAATACATAAATAAATGTCTTTTTGTTTGTTTGTTTGCACTGTTTCAGCACAAACTATTGTTTACAACAGTGTAGCTACTTATAACATTTTTTTTCCCATAAGCCCAGCTTACATGTATCACTGCACCTACAAGGTGAAAACATTGTACATTACTTTTTGAGCCTTCGTATTGAGCTCTGGTCCGAGCTATTGGATAAGCATTCTTTTAAAACTCTGTGCTGCAGAGTGAAGTTCGACTTCCCTTGTGACAGGTTAGAATTAGAACTGCCACTATGTGGTTTCCTAAACTAATCTTTACAGGAACAAATTGCCGATCTTTTCTCCCATGGAGAAAAGCCACTGGTGGCTTTGAATTGCTACCCTTTGAATTCGTGCAGCCTAGTGCTTAACCATTCTGCCACCAGGACGTCTTTCTTTTTAGAGTAGTATCATAAAATTGCACCATATCAAATGTGGGGGCAATGTGTAAATGTGCAGCAATAGTTCTGAGGCTTCCTTGTGCTAGAAAGCGTAGTTTTTCAAAGCCTAGTCTAGGTACTTTGGAGAAACAAATCCACAGCAACTCAAGTATAAGAGAGAGTTTTATGTAAAGAAAATGTGCATCACGAAAACATCCCAACCCAATGCTGCCCAAGCCCACAAGTCCAACATTAACCCATTAACCCAACACCAGTCCACAAAGTCCTCCACCTCACAAAACAGAGGCAATGATGCCGACTGCAGGAGGAAAGCTGAGTCAGTGAACGAACAAGCATCTCAGCACTAGCAGGGGTCTCCACACGTCTGCTCCAGCACCCAGGGCTGCATCGGGATAGGTCCATGTGGCTTCTCCTTGGGGATGTCTTGTAGGAAGTCCATCTTGCAAGCTGAAGCAGGGAACTGCTAAGGCAGCTGCACCCGGTGCAACCATCACAAAACAAGAGACCCGAGAACTAGAAAGGCGAGGCTCACCACCCATTTATCCCTCCGCCTTTCAATTAGCCCCTCATGTGATTATCAGCCAGGCTGGCACAATTAACTAACTATAGTATCATAAAATTGCACCATATCAAATGTGGGGGCAATGTGTAAATGTGCAGCAATAATTCTGAGGCTTCCTTGTGCTAGAAAGCATAGTTTTTCAAAGCCAAGCCCAGGATCAGCAGAATTCGAGTCAGCTGGGAGCTTGTTTAGAAATGCATAAATAACCTCAGGCTTCTGAATCAGAATCTACATTTTAATGATCTCTCTAGTTGATGGATATGCACGTTCACGTTTGAGAAGTACTGTTGCAATGCAGTTTTTCTCAAGAGGACAGCTGGTCATCTTCGCTGTGTGAATCTATTCTAGGTAGATCAGGATGGGTAGCATCCTTGGCCCTTAGGCACTAAGTATTTTATAGTACCCACATCCTGCCCTCATTTTGATAACTGAATATATAGCCATACATTTCCACATTTGTACTGGGATTATTATACCTCTGTTGGTTAAGATTTATTTCTAAATATATCAAGAGTAAGCCAGATTGATTTTATCAGTGGATACTTAACTATATGTCACAATTGGCTTTCAAAACAGGCTGTATTAAATACCTGTTTGTCTTATATTTGAGAAGGACATCGTGTGTGGTAAAGTCGAGCAGCAGCAGAAGAGAGGAAGACCCTCAAGGAGATGGATTGACCCAGTGGCTACAACAGTGGTTTTAAGCATAGGAACTGTTAGGAGGACGGGGCAGTGTTTCATTCTGTTGTACATACAACCGGTTGTCATGGGTCAGAACTGACTTGATGGCACCCAACAACAACAACACCCTAAATCCATCAAATTACATCATGTAACTGATAGTTACATGATTTTCCCTCCTTTAATCCTCAGATCATTTCATCAGGTTGTGTTTTCCTTATAATACATCCTTTGCATTATTATCTTGAGTTCTGAAATCTATCATAATTTTGTTCAACAATATTTTTTTCTTAGGCTATTTTTGCAAATATGAGTTATCAAAAATTCTTCTGTTTGGTTTAGATTTTACCTTCCAGGCAAGGAAATTTGGACCGATCTTTCACATGTTCCACAAGAAATGAAGCTTATAGTCCAAATTACTACTCAGGTATGACGCATTGCATGGAGTCAAGGCACTATATTTCAGATTTTTTTCTAGCAGATTGTCTTTGCCATCTAAAGTAAAAACAAAATAAAGTCAAAACCAAAATAGTACTTTAAAACATTGTTTAAATAAGCTTTTGTGTGTGTGTGTGTGTGCGCGCGCGCGCGTGCGATAAAGTTTTGCTGATCTAGTCTCTACCAAATATTAATATTTTAAAAAGTAATTTAGCAATCCGTTTTTCTATTTGTCAAAAGCCATTATAAAAAAGGAACATGGCTTTTTAAAAATTGCGTTTGATATAAGGGGTATTGTTTTGCATTGATTTAAGCACAGCTTGCCTATTTCTGTTCTAGTATGAAAGCTGAAAAGTTATTTCTACCAAAGCTTATCCCTCCGTCAGGCCATGAATATTAACTCCACGTTTCTGTCTAGCACCTGCCACAGCCATGCTTGCTTATCCAAGGGCATACCTCTTCAACTTGTGATCCATAATGACAGAAGTTGGCATTCTCTAGGCTACTCCTGTCCTCTCGCCTGCCTGACTTATCATTTACCCCTTAACCTTTGAACCCCCAATGATATGCTTCCGTCTTGGGAAATAAAGAGTTTTATTGGTTCCCCTCCTGGAAGTGTGACCCAGGAAGATTATAGACATTGTTAACCTTGAGCATTCAGTGGTTCTCACATATGTTTTCACTCCTCATGCCTCAGTCTGCTCACAAAATGATCATACTAATAATCCCATTGACCATGCCTCACTGGGAATTTTACAAAGATAAATGGAGATCGTAAATATGTCATACAAATAATTACTGTATATACTCGTGTATAAGCCGAGTTTTTTTTTTAGCACATAGTTAATGCAGTTTTTGTGGTAAAATTAGGTGCCTCGACTGATACTCGGGTCGGCTTATTGAGTACATACGGTATTGTTATTTGGCTCCCTCAGGGTTCTTTGTCAGCAAGGTGAGCTCTCTTCCCCTAAAAAGAGATTAGTATGATACTTGTAGTTTTATATTATATTTAAATGTCATCTGAGTGGGTGGTATTTTATCTATCCTGGGCACTGGATTTCTTATCCTGGGGTGGTCAGTGGCCTCCACATAATATGTATAGAATTTGTGTAAAAGAATTAGTCACACGTCTCAGAAAGTAAATACCATTATTATTGAAGACTTTTCCTCTTGATTTTAATGTGTGCACATACATGATACACATTGTATGCTTCAGTACATAATATACCTTTTTTTTAGCTCAGTATTTAGAAATTTACTTTTTCAACTGTTTACATAGTACCACTCATATTTATAATTTCCCATTTCTATGGAATTTGGAATTTATACATTCACATTTCTTATATGCAATTTCAAAATCCCTAAAATTAAAAAAAAAAATTTTCCCCCATCTCATTTGACATTAAATCCTAACCTGGCCCTTTGATTTCATTTCTTGACAAAAGCTACATGAACTGTCATGAAGCTATTTATTCTTTGTCTTTATTTCTCTAAGTAGAAATATTTATAAATTTTACTACAGATATACCAGTATGTTTCCTTATAGGGTAGTGTGACACACTATGGGGCCCTGGTGCTATAGTGTTGTAAGCATTGGGCTGAAAACCGTGAGTTCAGCAGTTCAAACCCAGCAGCTACTCCATAGGAGAAAGCTGAGACAGTCCGTTCCCATAAGTATTAATGTATTCACAAACACATAGTAATTCTATTCTGTCCTACAGAGTCACTGCAAGTTAAAAAAATAGGTGGTAGTACCAGTGGTGTTCTAAAGTGTTACATAGTGTATCAGATTATCTTTCTGAAATTCCTAATTATTTGTATTAGAAAACATGGGTTACTGATTTGGAATAATGAGCCTGCCTTTATTTGCTTCACTATTGGTTTTGGTTGCTTTCCCATTCCGTCCCCATTTTCAGCTATTATAAATTATGTGTGTGTGTGCATAGATCTAAGCCTATCTGTCTACAGGTCGAGTTTGGACATCAGTAGCCTCTTGATATTCACAAAGGATATACCTGAGAATATCTCAGATCCTCCTGCTCTTGGTTATGGTGCTAGTTGACCAGGTTGCTGGCTTTCTCCCGAGTCACAGGATTCTTAAGAGTTACATTTTTTCATAATTTATGTTAATAGCACAAGTTGATCACTGCATCTAAATCTTTTCCCAAAGTTCTTGCTCTCAATTGAAGGCCACTTCTTAGAAAACGAAAAGTAATTTATTGTAATGATTGTATACATAGCGTTGAAAATAGAATAACTGCAGGGAATAATTCACAATTTATTCACTGAGTATTCAGATTTGTGCCTTTGCCAATTTTCTCTCCCCCTGATCAAGTAAGCCTGATCACTGTTGATCCTTAACAGACACTATGTAAAATCTCTGAATGCCAAGAGTGTATATTTTTTCTTATAATGAAGTTTTTAATTAAAATCTTATTTCTTTCATGTACTGAAAAAAATATTTTTTCTGGTGAAAATGTAGAGCAAAGGGTGCTTCATCTCAATTCCTACATGTATGATCCATGACATGGATTACATTGTTCTTTTGAAATCTTTCTCCTTTGCCACATCCTTTCCAGTTCCTTACAAGTCCTGCAGAACTTGGCCTCTGCTATCTCTAAAGGGTGTGTTCTTTATGACCCTCACATGGACTTCTGTGGGGGATGAGTTGCCTTGTACCTTCTCGATTGGGCTAGCTAGCTTGAGGTCCTCGGTCCACTAGCTTTGGTCACCTGATTTTTGACTGTGTTGGTGTTTGTCTCCTCTCTTACCCCGCTATCTTTTCCTCCACCAAAATGAAAATAGCCACACTCAAGGCCTGGAGCCTCCTGCTTGTGTTTTACTGCATCTGCCTGTACACATACACACAGATCTGTTTTACGACCCAACTCTCAGCTCATTTAAGAGTAGACAATTGTAAGCACTACTTTTTTTTTTTTAAGACTTAATAAAAAAATAATGGGAGAAAATACAAGACTTAAACCTTAATAACCTAGTAATGGTAAGGTTCTAAGGCCTCAAAAGCACACTGAAAACAAAATGTCAACATTTTAATTGAACAGAGGAAAGTAAATTAAGAGGAAAATAAATTATGCTCATGCCAAGGAGAGATGTCAAATTAGGCTGCCAGGCTGGTACTTGGTAGAAAGATGATTTAAAGTGCCCAGCCATGGTAGTGACCGATAAATCTTAAAGCTAACACGAGCAGGTGATGCTTACTTCCACAGTAAGTTACTGCTTGACATGTTCTTTTTTAAAATAAAGTTGATCTGATGCACATAAAAGTATTGCCTACTCCGCTTAGAAAATGTGTAGAGAAAACTAGAAAGATAGCCATCATCATATCTTTGGAACACAAATGCATTTTTGATGTATTTCCTTCTAGTTTTAAATGTATGTGTACATCGTGAGTAATTTTACTTGTGCCTTTTGTCACTCTGATTCCTTAGTGATGACAAAATTCCAGATTAAACCTTCACTTAAACAAAAGGGACTTGCAACCCTCTGTTGAGCCCTCTCTATCTGGCTTTCCTCGATATGTCAATACTAAACGACTGTTCATTGACCTCATTGAGTGAAGGTAGAACTAGCTTATTCTGGTTAAACTGATGAGTCCTGTGCTTTCTCCTTGCAATTTAAAGGAGAAGCCACTGTCAGTTACTAGCAAGGTTCCTTTGGCTTGCCCTTGGTCTCCAATGTCACACCTCCCAGGGTAAATGGAATTTCTAGATAGAATTTCTCCTCAAATAGCCCTCTCTTATTAGGTATTTCCCTGATCAAATCTTAACCAAAAAGTGTGAGGCAAAGATTTGTACTGTTAATACTTTGTCCTTACAGAAAATAGTTCTCTGGTCCTTGAATGAAACTTTCCTTTAGCCTGATTTCGCTATTTTTAAAGTAATAGTAATGGATGCTAACCATAGGAACTGATTACAAGGGAAAATAGTTATAATTTATTTTAAAAGTAAATCTAACATTTTACTTATTAGACTAGGTTTATTTGTTAGTGAATCAACTGGCACCTGTACCATCTCTGACTTAATTTTTTTTCCTCTTAGTTTATCTAAATCTTGATATCTGACCAACTTAAAAAATTTTTCCAAACACATTTTTGTAGGCTGCCTTTTTGGATTGGGTGTTGAAAGATACATTAAATATTTTAAATAACAAATACACAATATTACACAGACACTTATGATTATATTCTTTGAAAGAACTTTCAAATTAATGTGAACATTGAAAGTTCTGAAGGTAGAGAATTCTGCCCATTTTTCCATGGAAGCACATAATTCCATAGCCTAATGTCTGCAGCTATTTTGAAAGAGTTAAGCTGCTTGACACTACTAAAGGGGAGAAAAAAAACAATACTTTTTTTTTTAACCTACTTTAAGCATAAACTACAGGGATTTTTGTCACCTCAGCTCATAAATCATCACATCAGAAAATTCAGATTATCTCTAGTAAGCCTGATTGCACTAACAAGCATTGGAATATTGATATACCGGATAACTATTGGGCATAAAGTGACTGAAGAGTATCATACTAAAACCAGATGTATGTGATGGGTCATTCTTGCCATAACTGACCAGAGTAAGCAGCATTGGGCTCTCTCTTCTCCTAGAGCCCTGAGGCATTAACAAGGTACAAACAAAAAGAAAGTGACACCCGCTGCTTATTAAGCAATAACTGTTGTTCATTTGAATTAAATTCTCCTTGGCCCTCCACCTGGTTTCTTACTGGTCTGGCCTACCTTCTTTCAGGCCCAGGCCTGGGAGTGCTTGCAAGATATAGTTGGGGTAAAATGTTGACTTTTGGTGGACACCACGGAGTCACATTGATGCAGATAAGGCACATGGCTGTGGCAGGATTCAGCTCCTTCATCAATTTTCAGGTTAGTATGGCTGAATCAATTATAGTTTGTAGATGTTCCCTTACTGCAGACTTTCCTGGCAGTTGAGACTGGGATCTTTCTTCCATGAGAGACAGGGTGATATGCCACATTACTTTAGAATACAGTGTTGGACACGGTTGCACACTCGTAAAAGGCACCAGCTTTAGGTGGCATTCTTGAATTTATTCAAATTTTTTGTTCTTTTAGAAAACCCTTCCCCTGACAGTCTTCTTGGCTCAGGCGATTTAAGAACCTTTGGCCAGAATGCAAATGGCCAGTGGAGAAGTTCTACTCCAACATCAGGATTAACTTTGCAAAAATCAAGAAACAGCCGGAGTCTTTTCCTGGAAACCCGAAAAACCTCAAGGTAGGCTACCCATCTACTGCACAAACCCTTTCTCAGCTCTAAGGGGGAAAAATGGGCATTATTACATGGGCATGTAAAAAGAATAATGCAGTTTTTCAACTTTACACAGTAGAGATCTGGACAGATCCATGTTAAAGTTTCACGTTGAAATCATTTGGTGCTGGATTGTGATGACAGCCCACGCTTGTCAGAGGAGAGGGTTTTGAGGGTAGCTCTGAGTGGATTAGGAGCTTTCCTGAAAGCTTTACTACGGCTGTTAGGAATGTTAGGGTAAAAGTCCAGGTCTACTGTTCACAGTGAGCAATGATGCCATTGCATCTTTACGAAACAAATTATACTGCCCACGTCATCTTTTTAGCTGCTTCAATCTGTCCTAAGAGAATATCCTGTTCCTGACATTCTAAGTCCTTGCCTGTCCCTGGTCCAACACACAAAGAAGTCACGAGAGTGAGGAATTAAGAAAGGGAGAGCATGTATATGCTTGCTGGTTTTCTTTAGACCTGGGCTGACTTTACTTGGGTACATACCACATTACGGATTTAAAGAATTGATTGTATGTATTGTCCATTGTAATCAACTCAGTCATCTGTGTGTCTCTGTTCTGATAGAGGAGGAAAGTGGCTTTTGCACATTCAAAAACAAAGTCTAAATTACGTGGAAGAAGAAATCCTGGTGGTGCAGCAGTTAAGGGTTGGACTACTAACCAAAAGAAACCAGTGATGTTCAAGGATGCGCTATTTACTTCTCTCAGGAAGACCGCTCACAGGGATTTGTATAGGCATGTCGGAGTACTGTACCAACGTAGGCCACTAGCTCTTTGAAGATAGTCTACCGTCTTCTCGCTTCTGTTCTTGCTCTTGTGAAGTCTGCCATCTGTCTTGTTCTTTTGTATATACCCGGGGTCGGGAAACTTTTAAGGTGGAAGAGCCAATCGCCCCCCTTACAACAACTTAAAAATTACTTGAGAGCCATAAATAAATTTCTTCAAACAAATAAAATCACTATTATTTGAATAATAGCCTTTAAAAACGTTCAGTTTTAATTCAGAGCCACTGTACTGAAAGAGCCACATATAGCTCGCAAACCGCAATTTGCTGACCCCTGGTCTGTATCTTTCTGAGGACTGGGTTGCCATTTCTCTAACCTGTCCCCCAGAATTTCCGTGCTCATCAATTTACACCAAGACAAAGTGACAGTTTGGCCATCCTGCTAGGACTCAAATTATGTTCTTTTTCAATGTCCTTGGAGTTTGGGGAATAAAAAGCAGTCTAAAGGGCAAGCTTGGGGATGTACAGTGGATGGGGTAAAGTGTCCTGCAGAAAGGTGTTTAGGATTTCATTGGATCATACTGGTAAATCCAAGACTCATCCCCAGTGCCTCAGAGACAGATGGAAAGAACAACTCTTGAACTAAGCTTATCTTTGTGTAACATTTTTGGCACCCCTTGAACTGAAAGCTTGCCGAGGCCAAAATGTTCTCTTAAAATCGAAAATGCGAAACCATGTGAAATATCAAGTGCAATAGCTATTCCATCAGTGCTACTTCTGCAGTGTCCTTCCACAGCTCCTGCACTTCAGCTGTAGCTTCCTCATTTGTTTCGGTTGAGAAGTCTTCCCTTTCTTGGCTCATCTTTGAGGTCTTCTTGATATTCCTTAAGGTATTTGATCCATTCAAGAACTGTTGTATGTGGGCAGCATTCCCTTGCTGGAAAGTTTTGGTCCTTTGGCATGATAACCACTTAAGTTTTGCTGAAGAGTGGATACTATCCCTGACCTCAGAGTTGTTTTTTTATTTTTATGGCACAGGAAAAAATGTTCTTCTATAGGCACCCTAATGAGACTAAAAAAGTAGACTACTGAAAGAACTGGTTTACAGTCATCCATAGATCGCAGAGACATGTTTGAACACACTTTGTTTGGAATCTGTATGTATGAACTAGAAAAAACTCAGCATTGCTGCAGATTGATAGACAAGCTAGAGCACAGAGAGAAAACTTCATGTATTGCCTTTGAGATGAAACCGGCTTTTTATTTCATGGACATGCTTTTTCTTATTGATTAAGGTACAAATAATATCAAGAAAGAAAGAAAACAAAGTTCTCCTTCAAAGGAGGTGAATGTTGAGCCAGGAGAAGCAGCCCAGTAGTGCACGCTAGCTGTTTGAATGACTGAAGGGAGCCCTCTGCTGGTCTTTCTCAGAACTTTGAAATGTAGTTTAAAACTGAAATGGAGAGGCGTCAACTTTATTCAGCTTTGCATATTTAACCTTAATTTCCAATAGAGCTTGGGGTTGGGGTGAGTTGGGGAGCCAGTTTACAATCTACAGGCAGTATTAGCAAAATCAGATAGCGCTTTCAATTTTCATGTATATGTGCATAGGCTCTACCCCCAAATCCATACTCAGTTATTGAACTTTTGTTAGCTGGTATTGAAACTGTAACAAAATTGTTGAACCAATTTTTTAAGCTTTCATCGTGCAGTATGTCTTTCTGAAGCAAACCAAAGGTAAATTTCTCATGGTTCTTGCCTGTTTGCAGCCTTTGAGGGGGGGGTCTTTTATACATTTGAATGTGTAATAGATGAAAAAATAAACTAGATCGCAAATCCCTTCCAAAGAGAAGAAAAAAACAAAAAGAAACTGAGTCAAAGAAGGAAGAAAATGTAAAATTGATTGTGGTGATGACTGTCAAACTCTTCTTAAGATGATCTAACTAAAAAATAAAAAAGATGATTGAATTATTGACTTGTAGGTTTTATTAATGATATCCCAATAAAACTACTGAAAAATTTTTAAAAATTAAGAAAAAATAGATAAGAGCTTGGGAGTCAGGAGGATGCAGGGGTAGAAGACAAAATGCTTGTGTTTGTTTCATATTCTTGAAACCTAAGTTTTCTAAAATAGAATAGTTTGATCATTGTCCCATCGTGCCACATACCTTTATGGTTCCGTACTGAAAGAATCTACAGATTGTGGATCTAAGTAATACAATAACCTGTAGAGTTGTGCCATAGGGCTTCCATGGCTGTAATCTCGAGAAGTAGACTGCCACATCTTTCACCCTGAAGGGGCCAGTGGGCTTGAACTGCCATTCTGTTGGTTAGCAACTGTGCCACCAGGGCTCCTCAAGAGCTACAGCCCCACTCATTACTGTGGTGCCAGTTCCATCTCATAGTGACCCCGTAAGTTCCAAACTCACTGGTCAGTGCTGTTGCATAGCAACTCCCCTATGGGTTTCTGAGACTGCAGCTGTTTATGGGAGTAGAAAACCCAATCTTTCTCTGAACAGGCTGCTGGTGGCTTTGAACTTCCAAACATTTGAATTGCAGTCCATTGCATAACCACCACACCTCCAGAGCTCCTAAAGTGACACTGTAGGACAAAGTACACCTGCTCCCTTGGGTTTCCAAGACTGTAAATCTTTATGGGAGCAGACAGCTTTATCTTTCTCCCTTGGTGACTAGTGGGTTTGAACTTCTGACATTTTAGCAGCCCAACGCTTATCTCGCGGCACCACCAGGGTTCATTAAGTAATATTAACTATTAAATAATTCCATCGCTTAGTAATCTAAAGATCTCTTGAACCACAGAGCCAGATGCATAACCCATATGAACTGTAAGTGACATAACGTTTTTCGTGTATATTGTCCTCACATGGAACATATTCCATTCTGTTTACTTTTGTTATTTTTCTGAAAGTGAAAATAATAGATTTATCTCACTTGCTGTTCTTAATCTTTTCTCATTTTTAAAGTGGATTATCAAACACTTTTATCGGAAAGTCAAATCATCACTGCCATGTGTCTGCATATGAAAAATCTTTTCCTATTAAGCCTGTCCCAAGTCCATCTTGGAGTGGTTCATGTCGTCGAAACCTTTTGAGCCCCAAGAAAACTCAGAGGCGACATGTTAGCACAGCAGAAGAGGTAAGAAAGTGTGCCCCTTAAAGCTCCTAAAAACTAGGCTCTTTCACTTTGTTAGCCTCTAATTTTATATGCTCATTAAGTATCCATTTACTTAGTTCTTCCTGTGATCTTTTTAGTTACATTTCTTGAGTGTTTTCATCTGCTCAGGAGGAATGGAAGGTGTTTTAGCAGAACTTCATTTTTTTCTTACTGTCTTCTGTTTGATATCAGACTTTACATATCTTTCAATATTGCCTGAGTGGCTTCTCATACGTAAAACTCTCTCCTCTTCTTATTGGCCCTTTCTAGACTCTGGTTTCCTTTGGTAAAGCTATTAACTGGATTTGATAAAGACCTGTCCCTGCTGCTTACTAGGAACAATTTTTACTCAATATAAAAGAAAAATTAAGATTCAGTTAATTAACATTTTTTAGTTATATAGGGAAAGATCTTTTAGCTCATATACTTTACCAGTAGAGGAAAAGAAAATTGTGAGAATGCAGTATAGCACATAATTTGCACAATATGAAGTATGATTGTACCTGTTTCAGATTTATTGTGTATAGTCATTAGTTCTGGACTGGTGGCTGTGGACTGCCCAGGAGTGATAATATGTGTTAGAATTTCCGGTGTGTTTCTCAGTTTGTTACTGTGTTCAGTCATTTTCATGTTTGGAAAGTAAAGGTCAATGATCACACACTTAGTAAGGCTTAGAATGCATGTTCCTCCTTTGGACTGCTTGGCACGTCTCCCTTTCACTTACTTTGCCAGCCTATTAACCAAATAGCCTCCCAGATCACCCACCAACCCATAGACTGGGTCCTTGGAACCGTGATACTAGTTTCCTTTCTTCCTACAGTACGCAGATGCTAGGGATGGAGTGTGCCCAATGAAGCCATCGCTGCCACGTGTCGGCACAGGACAAATCTATCCCTTTTAAGCCTGTCCCAAGTCCATCTTAGAGTGGTTTATGTCCTTGAAACCTTTTGAGCCCCAGGAAATTTTACCTGAGTTCCCGTTGTATTTCTTTCACACTTTTTACTGTGAATTAAGTGGACATTTAAATATCAAGTAATCATCATTTTTGCATTCAATAACTTAAACAGCTAATCAAACTCCCCAATGGCTTGCCTATCTCCTGCCCCTCTCGTTTTTCCCCATCTCCCTCTTGTAGCATATTCCCCATCATTATAGTTAACACCTGTATACTTTTTTGCTTCTCCTTCCCTCTCCCCTGCCCACCTCTCCTAACTCTCACAAGCTATTTCTTTTCGTAAATATTTTTCTTGATTAAAAAAATTAAACATTTATTTTTATTTTTTTGGTAACAGTGGCCTTACACAATTATTTGTACTAGTATTTGTCCAGTTCTGTTGGTCTAACTCTTTAAGTCCGTCTGTGTCATCAGATGTTTCTCAGTTTCATCGTTGTTCTTTAGCAGTGCATAGTATTTGATTGTGTGTATGTACCAAAGTTGCTTTCTCCAGTCTTCCTCCGATGAGTGCGTAAGTTGTTTCTGTCTTCTTGCAGTTATGACTAGTGCTGCGGTGAATATGGATGTGCATATAGCTGTTCGTGCTATGCTCTGTATTCCCTAGAGCATAGGCTCCCAAACTTACTTGGCCTGTTTCCCCCTTTTCAGAAACAGAATTACTCATTGTCCCCTAGCAATGAAAAACTTAAGTACTATCACCCGTACTCCAGGATGAAGTATAGGTACCTGCTTTTACAGCACACACACACCCCAGTTCCAGTGCCCCATAGGGGGCAGTATTGCCCATTGTAGGAAACATTGCTGTAGCATATACGATCATGATATTTCTGTTTGCAATTGTTTGAGGAGTCACCATTACTGCTTTTCACGGTGGCTCTGCTGTTTTACAGCACGAGGGGTCCAGTCTCCCTGTACCCTCTCTAGCATTTGCTGTCAGCACATTTGAACTGTGCTTTCAGCACTGAGATGAGGTGTATCTCTTGGATGACTAGTGAGAGATGGCTAATATTTTTATGTTTGTTGATCGCCGTAATGTCTTCTTTGGTAAACCATTCATGCCTTCCGCCCATTTTAAAATGGGCTCTTTGGTCTGACTTGTTTTTAGGTCTATATTTTATGCTAGGATACCTACGTCTCATTGATCTTGACTTGTCTGGTTACTTCCTTGTGCTTTGTCTAATGTGTGTTAGGAATCTTGGAATTTGTTGGAATCCTAAATTCCAACAAACGTTTATTTCTTGAACTTTCTGTGACTCAAAAGTGATGATCTGCTGACCTTGTGGTTTCCTATTCTGTGTACTGTTATTGACATGTGTGCTTCATAGTTTTTCAAAACGTGCGACTTGATATTTGTTACTCCACCCCTCGGTATGTATATTTTGTTATGTTACATAGTTTTCTAGAATCATTTTAATATGCAATAGTTCTTATATCTCTCCAAGACTCCTTGGGCTTTGACTAAACATTGAGGAGGTTAGATGCTACTTTGGGAAATACTTACCTCATTGTATATGTTTAAGTTTTTTTTCTTTTCCCACTTTTAGACCATTCAAGAAGAAGAAAAAGAGATTTACAGACAGCTGCTACAGATGGTCACAGGGAAGCAGTTTTCAGTAGCCAAACCCACAACACATTTTCCTTTATACATGTAAGTCACAGAAGCATGTGTCAAATGAATTCAGTTCTACAGTTTGTTACTTGAGTCTGACACTAGGTTCTTCTCTCGGTAGGTCTCGATGTCTTAGTTCCACTAAGAATGCTTTGAAAGAGCCACTGTTTAAAAATGGAAATTCTTATGCAGCTCAGATCATTGGTTCAGATACTTCATCATCTGGATCAGCAAGCATTTTAACTACCCAGGAACAACTATCCCACAGTCTGTATCCCCTGTCATCATATACCCCAGAAGTTGCTTCATATGGATCCAAAGATTCAGAACCTCCCCATCAACCCCACCAGCACCACTCACTTCTGCATCAGCCAGATAATTTACCAGCTTCAAATACACAATCTGAAGGTAAAAATGGTCTTAGAAATCCTTTTTTGATCCTGATAGCCACTTAACTGAGTTTTCTGTCAATGTAACTTCCAGGCAAGATTATAATACATTTAAAACTTAACATATATATATATATAAGGTAGCTTAGACATACATAATTCAGCAAAACAGGCCACAAGTAGACTAAATATATAAATAGCTCACATATTTCCTTATATAAAGATGCAAATGATTTGATAAAATGTTTTAATTAAAAATTTGATTTTCAGAGTACATTTGGCCTAGTTACTTCAACATTTGTTCTACTTCTAGTACTGAAAATTAGATAGTCTCAAATTCCAGGAGACTTAGAAAATCAAGTAAGCAACGAAGCATAAGTGCATACTATGTGATGCTTATTATATATGCATAGAATGGCTGTAAACTAGTTTTGGAAACAGAGTTCTTTCCCAGTTTTCAGCTAACTATCATTCTTTTTCTTAGAAGTATCCCATGAAGGTTTTGCTATGATGGGTTTTTAGTTTCTGTAGTTGTCTCCTTCCTTAGGTAGGTATGGATTATGTGTGTATTTATGGTATGTAGCTAAATACAGCTTTTAGATTAGGTGGTTAGACGTTAGGGATCTTTTGACAGATGGAATGCTAGTCTTTAAGCTCCTTTCCGCTTCCTTCGGCTTGTTTGATTTTTAAATCCATTCTGGAAAATTCTTAATTGGATGCTAAAGTTTTTGCTTATAAATCATTGTAAAGTCAGATATATTCATGAAAGTATACTAAATTTTATCAGGTGATTTACAAACTGCCATTTAATAAAATAAAACAAAAAACAGCCCTTGATGATCAAATGCTTAGATACAGCCAAACTGGAACAGATGCACTAACTAGATTACATGGCTTAGTTATTTCTGATATGATTTCATAAGGATTTTAAAGGAGGTTCTAATCAGTACTTTGGAAGGACATGGTTCCTGCTTTTGAGTATTTAATGCAAAAAAAAAGTAGGTAAATAAAACTTACTCTTTTAAGACTCCATTGTTTGTCCTACCGTTCTGTTTTTTCCCGCTCCTCTAAGACCCGAGTGAGTTTCATAGTAGTTTATGAACTAAAGTTTTTAAAGAACTCTTGGCATGTTCTTAATTCCCAGGAACAGAAGGAGAAAACAGAATAAGCATAACTCCAAAGCAGATGCTAAAGCACAAGTTTAGTAATTGCCTTATTTGTGAGTGAGGCAACTGCTTCACTCAGACTTACTTGTGGTCGCAGGGGAAATGAACCTACCTCCTTTGTTTTCCATCTCATCTTTATTTTTATATGCTACCTTATTTTTGAGGAATAGAATATAACAAAGTATGGGCCCTTGAACTATAGACATCTAGAAAGTTTGATTGTGAAATTTTATTAATGAAATGCTCGTTTCTTTATTTAGAGTCAGACTCTGTCATTTTACTCAAAGTGAATGATTCCTCGGCACCTGCTCTCAGGTAAACTTTGGAAAAAAATCTTTCTTAGTATATTGCTTGCTGTCTCCTTAATCAGACTCTCTTTATAACCACTAAGCATTACATGATATAAAAAGAAAACTGTCTTGATTTAGATATTTAGCATGTGTTGCCTGAAATTTTAATGATGTTCTAATTGGCCTTCTTTGCTTCAACCTCCATTTTGTTCTTCATTCCATCTTTTACCCTGTTCTCAAATCCATTCTTTTACATTATTCTTTGGCCCATTGCCCATGCTATAGTCAGAGTGATCCTTCTAAAATGCGTTTTCCTGTAACACCTTCAAGGACAACTTAACCGAAATAGAATCAAGCCCAAGCTCCTTAGAATGGCATGCAAAGCACTTTAATTCATCTCATTTCCTATTATTACACTTTTTTTTTTCTTTAACGTCTTTTCCTAAGGGCCTCCTGTGCGTATGCACTAGAATATTCTGAGGACAACAACAGTCAACAAAATGTCAGCGGTCAGAGGGAACTACATTTTAGTTGGGGGAGGGATGAGGCACAAAAAAATAGATATATATTCCAAGTGAGTTATAAGTGTTGGATAGAAAAATGAAAGCAAAAAGATGGGTGAGGGGACAGATGACATTTGAGCAGAGGCCTAATGAGGTAAGGAAGAGAGCCTGATGGACATTTGGGTCTCCTGTGTCTTTATATGCGAGGCTACTTTCAGTCTGTACCTCTGATCATCACTTTCATGTATATGTCCCTTCTGGTGGATTGCCCTCCCCACTGTGGCTTGTTCATCCGACAGACAGTAGACTCCTTATTCTGTAAATCGCAATTCAGATGACATCTTCTAGGATCAAGTACTTCTTCCTTGGTAATCCAGTAGCTTACCACTTGTATTGTTGTCTTTGCCATATAGGGCCTTGGTAATCAGATTGTTAGAATATTAGCTTCAATTCAGAAGCTTAGGGACAATAAAATGTTCTCATCGATCTTAGTTCCCTAACTTCTTCTTAGCTCCTGTCTGTAGTCTAAACTCTAGATTCAAACAACAAATACTCTTTATTTGTTAGAGTTCCCAAGGAGACTTTGCAGCTGGAATTTGAAATTTTTTTCTCTATTATTTAGAGTAAGCCCTGAGTTTAGTTCTTGGGTTTTCCAGCATTCAAGTAACTTTGGACAGGTTACCATTATAAATCTCAGGTTTTTATCTACAAAATACCAGTCTTAATAGTTTAGTTGTAAAGATTTAACTTAGAATAAGATACCTAGTAGAAAGGTTTTACATTAGTGCATACAGGTGGGTGAAGAAATGGCATGAAATAATTTCTCCTTTGACTTTAGTAAACAGAAAGAGAATCCAACTTCACACCAGCCCAAGACTGATTGCCAGGAGGCAAAGGTCAGATATCCCTCCACCCTGCACCTTTTTTTTTTTTGCCCCCTGCATCTTTCTTTACCCTATTCTGACACCCAAACTATCCCGTGGCCCTCTACTTCAATAATTTGTTGCAGTGGCCACATAGAACTTATAGACAGACAATACTCAGGATTATGGGGTTTATCAGGAAAGCTAGCAGGTTACAAAATGTTGAGGATACATTGATTTTTTTTTTCACCAAAATCTTAGCCGTGCTAGTAGGCACGTATGTCTTTGATTCTTGTCCTCTCAGATGCATGGCCCCATGGCCTCTGCCTTGTTCCATGAGCGGGGAAGCCCTCTGCTCTGCCTCATGGTCTCAGTGCTCTTCTCTGTTCTGCCTCAGGCTCTATATGCTACGACCCCTGGTATCTCTTTGCTCTGCCATATCAGACAGGGATTTTGAATGTGCTCGTCTTTCTTGATGGTCACAGGGTTTTCTTGCTCTCTGCTTCTGACATGGCTCTCTTAGGCCCACAGGAATGGCAACCTGGCCAGTCCCCTCTATGGAGGATGCTTCATACACCCTATTTGTGTAGTCCCACCCAATCATTTATTTGGAGTTACAAAGACAAGGATACAGAGCCATGTTTAAGCAATTTCACTTCACCATAGTAGGTATGCTTTCTAGGAAGAAGTTGATCTCAAGTTAAGAGTACGCTCATTTCCATAATGGTTCTTTTTGAAGTCACTCTTTTTTTATTGTTAATATTTTATTGGGGGGGGGCCTCTTAAAAATCTTACAACAATCCCCCATTCGGTTGTATTAAGCATACTTGTACATATGTTGCCATCAATATTTTCCAAAACATTTTCTTTCTACGTGTGAGCTGAAGTTACCCTTTCCTTGATGGAGGATTCCTCTTGGTGATCACTGAAGAATGAGATGGAAGGGGAAGTGCCTTTTTGCATGTGGGACGTTGAGTAATGCTGTTTGTGAAGTTGGAGTCTGCTCTCCAATGCTTGGTCTGTTGGCTCTCCCAGACTCAGCTGCCATCAAGTTGATTCCAACTAATAGTGACGCTACCTAGATTGTAAATCATTATGCAAACAAACGGCCTCATCTTTCTCCTATGGAGTATCTGATGTTTTTGAACTGCCAACCTTGCGGTTAGCAGCCCAACACCTAATCCATAGCACCACCAAGGCTCTTTAAACTGTCATCACTGCCTCACAATTACATTCTAGCAAAGACGACTTGCCTTTTTTTCTCAAAGTTTTCCATGCCATCATTCCTCTGTGCTCTTGTTCATTTTAATCCTGCTGTCGAATTCCCCTTCTCTTAGGTCCATTTGCTTTTCACAATTTGATGCAGGTGTTATTTTTTCTCAGAGGCTTTCTGACATCTCTAGATAATGTCTGTCCTTCCATCCAGTCCTTCTTTCCCTGTACCTTGTTAGTTATTAATGTGGTGTACAGTGCTCATCATAGTACCCGACGTGCTCAGTGATTAGTGTATAAATCTGCGAAATGAGTGAATTTCCTAACGAGTCTGACATTCTCTGTGAAGTAGCCCTGTACTCATTCCTTTTCGGTTAACACTGTGGTCTAGTGGAAGACCCTGTGCAGTAGTAGAAAAGCATGGTTCAAAATTGGCTCTCCAAGACAAATTATCTTCAGAACCTGAAATAATTTCTTGTTACGCATTATATTGAAGTTTAAACTATATGGGAATTGGAAAGATGTTTAATTTGTAAAACAGCATAATTTTACAGAGAGCACTGTGTTTAAGTGAATATAACTTGTAGTAATTCTTACCATAGCTCTCAATTATATGAGAAATCATGTACGATACTTTTGGAAAAGCAAATTCTTACTGAATTTTGCTTTCCTGAGCCAGCTGATACATGGATTCATTGAAGAGAAGTTCTTGCCGTCCACCTCCTCCCCACCTTACACACACACGATTCCTATAGTTAACAAATATTGAATGTCTTCTATTTGCCAGGTATTGTTCTAGGTGCCCAGAAAAAAAAACAGATCTTTTTATATTCTGTTAAGGGAAGCAGGCAAATCTGAGTAACCATAGTCCATTATAGCGACATCTGCATGGTTCTTGTCACATCTTTATACCAGAGAGCTTCAAAAGTTTGTGGGAAATTTTCATTATCCTTTAGTTCTATTTTCCCACAAACTCTTTGAAGTCTTGTATGTATAATAAGTATGTCCTCAGGTTGACTTGTTTTTGGTATCGTGCTAAATCGTCTACAAAGTGCTAGGTTTCTGTGGTCTTGGATCTTGTCTATTATGTGAGTTGGCCACTTTGCCAAGAGGATGGGCCAGCTCCTAAGTTCTCTTCTCATTAACTTCACTGACATTGGCAAGGCAGGAACAGCAGTCTCGTTGCCAAGTTGCAGCCTAGGAATGGCTTGGACCACTATTTTCAAAAATTAGGCTAAGGATCAAGGGATACTCTCTAAGCCCTCTCAGTTATATGTAAACCACTTAACTGAAAGGAACTTGACTCACTGTATTTTACAAATCTAGGGCTCACAGAAGTGAAATCATTTGTTCAAGGTTAGAAAACTAATCAGGAATAACTCCAGAAGTTCTAGGTCTCATAACTCCTCGTTTGATGCCTTATCTGCTTGTTTTATGGGACTGGAAGTATTTACTCTTTCAATAATTTGAGAGATCACTTAGGAATTTGCAGAGAGATAAAGTTTGAGAAGGACATGAGGTCCTAGAAAAGTTTTAGCATGCTTGAGACTGCTAAGCATTATCTACTTGTGTTGTTAGTAAGAGCCACGTGGGATAGCTCTTCTGCTTTGGTTTGACTCATTACCCATTAGACATGGACCATTCTTTGAGTCTGGCACTCAACTGCTAATCAAAAGGTTGGTGACTGGAACCCACTGTCTGCTCGATAGGAGAAAAGAGCTATAATGATCTCTGTGCATAGTTTAGAGAGCCTCAGAAGCACTATGAGGCAGTTCTGCTCTGCCCTGCAGTGCCCTACAGGGCCATGATGGGTTGGAATTAACACAGCAGCAGGAGGTTTTCATTCCTTGAATAGGGGTTTTCTGTCTCTACTCTTGATTGGGGTGAATATATTTTGACTCAAGTAATGTGACAGGTTGTTCAACAACCTGTAAGATTTTATTAACTGAAAAATCTGTTAATCGGCACCATGTGGAAAGAGTAATGTTCTAGTGTTAATATGTTGGCTTGATAAGTGATGTGCTCTGTCATGTAATGCTTGTCTCAGGCAAGGAGAGAACTTTGCCAAACTTGATGTCTTCACTGAACTTTGGGTCATCTTTTAACTAATATATATGTAAATGACTCATTTGAATTCCAGTACATCCCAGTTATAACTAGGTTAACTTGGGACCTTTTACTTATTTCAAACTTGTGAAGCATTCTTACAAGCAGTTTAAGTGTTTGACTTTGTTGGTGAAGGTATTTGTATTTTCTCATAAACCTTCTGTTGATGGGCCACATTTTTTCTTTTCTCACCCTAGTCCTACCTTTTTCCAGGCAGAGTTGTGGATCAAAGAATTGTAAGTTACTTATTTTTGCTGTCTTTTTTCTTTCTCAGTCACTTCATTTTCACTTTGGAAAAAAACAAGCAATTAGTTTGTCAACTTGCTTATTTTTAGTCATTAGAACTATCTATACTTTGAAGTTGTTGGGCTTTTAAAATCCTCTTGGTGACATTATATCTTTGACAATCATTGAGCCAAATTAAAATGGAAAAATATCCCAAAGTTAAGTATTATAAAGAAGTGAAAATAGATGTCCCTCTTTTATTGTTAGTAAAATTAATTTGAGTAATTCATAATTTTGAGTTTGCAAAATAACTGAAAACTTTTAATCACTTCAAATTCAAGTTATCCAGGTTTCTTGAATTAAAACAAAACAAAACTCATATTCTTTCATTTGGATCATAAATACAATGATATTCAACTTTAACATAGTAGTGTCTTTTCCTTTGGAGTTCATTCTCATTTTTGGATTTCCAGAACGAGACTTCCTTTTCTCCATAATCTTAGAAGAATGTTCACAAAAGGACTACATATTTATAAATATTCACAAAATTATCTGTTGACATTTAGCAGCCAACCAGTATGTTTTATGTCAGTGAAAATGGTAGGATAGTTTCACCTAACACCATTTGGTTTCACTCTGTATTGAAATAGAAATGTAAGAATAAGCTAGGTAAGGATTTTAAACTTTCTATGTGTCAGTTTTATAGTTAATTGTCACCGTGCCACCAGCATTATGCTTTATACTAAGAGGGTCGTTTACATTTCTGTCACTATTCTATTTATACCCTAGAACTAGTGTTTACGATTCTCGAGCACGGGAGAGATTGCGGCAGATTGAAGAGCAGAAAGCATTGGCTTTACAGCTTCAAAATCAGGTAAAAACACAAACCAGAAACTGGGATAGGCTAATAAATAGTACATTCAGGTTGAAACTTTTTTGCAAAGTTATCTGAATTTTGGATCAAAGCTATTGTAATTGCAAGATCATATCCTAAACAGCATTGCATGATAAGTGATATATTTTCTTTGTCTAGCCATTCAGTTCTACTTAGTTTACATAAGACAAATAGTAGATTCTTTCATCCCACTTATTCTCAAGCTCTGTCTTTTAGAGATTGCAGGAACATTCAGTACATGATTCAGTAGAACTGCATCTTCGTGTACCTCTTGAAAAGGAGATCCCTGTTACGATTGCCCAAGAAACAGAAAAGAAGAGTCATAAATTAATTGATAGTGAAGATGAATTTCCTGAAATAACGCAGGTAATTTATTACTCTCAAGTCCGACACTAGCAAATGCTCTTACTTAGAAAGAATATTTTGGCGGCTATCAAAAGATATAGCGTCTGGGGTCTTAAAGGCTTGTAGGCAAACAAGCGGCCATCTAGCTCGGAAACAACAAAGCCCACAGAGAAGAAGCACACAAGCCTGTGTGAACACGAGGTGTTGAAGGGATCAGGTAGCAGACACCAAAGAACAAAAACCATCATTGTGTGATCACCTTCCCCACATAAACGCTGAAGACGAATGTGTGCATAAGTAAGTGTGGTGAAGAAGGCTGATGGTTCCTGGCTATGGAGACCTATAGCGTCTGGGGACTTAAAGACTTGAAAGTAAATAAGCGGCCATCTAACCCAGAAGCAACAAAGCCCACATGGAAGCAGCACACCAACATGTGTGATCATGAAGGGCCGAAGGGATCAGGCTTCAAGCACCAAAGGTGGCTGCGGGGGGGCATATCATCGTGAATGAAGGGAGCGTGTGATGGGGGCCCAATGCCCACCTGTAGACAACTGGACATACCTTGCAGAGGGGTAGTGGGGAGGAGATGAGTCACTCAGGGTTCAGTATAGCAATAATGAAACTCACAACCTTCCTCTAGTTCTTAAATGCTTCCTCCCCTCAACTGCAATGACCCCAATTCTACCTTGCAGACCTGGTTAGACCAGAGGATGCACAGATGGGAACTGCAAACAGGGAATCTAGGACAGATGAACCCCTCAGGACCAGCGGTGACAGTGGCGATACCAGGAGGGAAGGGGGGTAGAAAGGGGGAATCGATCACAAGGATCTACATATAACCTCCTCTCTGGGGGATGGGCAACAGAAGGGTGGGTGAAGGGAGATGCCGGGCAGTATAAGATATAATAATAATTTATTTCATAAAAGAGTTTATGAGGGAGGAGGGGGTAGCGGGGAGGGAGGAGGAGGGGAAAAAGGAAAATGAGGAGCTGATTCCAGGAGCCCAAGCGGAAAGCGAATTTTGAGAATGATGAGTGCAACAAAAGTGTGCTTTGCACAATTGATGTATGTATGAACTGTGATGAGTTATATGAGCCCCAATAAAATGATTTTTAAAAAGCTATGAAAAAAAATACTTTGGACAGATTTCAGACATAAAAGCAACAGTACTATATGCTGCTTAAATTTTATTACATAGTTCTTTATTTGTATTATATGCCAATCTTACCTTTATTTTTAAGGGATTAATAAGAATTGATAAAAGAATTATAGGTGACTTATCTACTTCATTGAAAATTAATTTGTGTTTCATGTCCATTTTGACTTAATGCACATGTATAATAATACTTTGACATTAAATGGTTAGCTCAGGCTTACTATTAATTTTTAAGTTAAATGTAGTAAAAATCAGAAAAATTTAAATGTATATATTAAAGTCTGTACATTTTAATGTTCCTTAATATGTACATCTCTGAAAAACTCATGAAACTGGTAAGCATAGCACATTTTTATAGTTACGCTCGATTTCCTATTTCTGTTTTTTAATAAGACATTTGGACTAGAGGTAAAACATATAAACTATAATTAGTTCATCTCATGGACTTGATAGCAACAAATTATTTCAGACTTTAGAAATAATAGCCAATGAAGATCCAAATGTGCTGAAAAAGAGAAAGGGAGGGAAAGATAGAAGGATAATAATAATCAGGGAGAGTGCTGGGATAAAATAGAAATGCTAGTTGGAAGTAGTGTGTGTGTGAGAGAGAGAGAGAGAGAGGGGGGGCGGGGGGGCATGGTCTGGGAACCGTATAGGGCTGGGTGAGAAAACCAGTTTACCTGAAGCCATATGTGTTTGATTTTTTTTACACTTGTTGGTTTCCTAGGAAATGGAGAAAGAAATAAAGAATGTATTTCGTAATGGGAATCAGGATGAAGTTCTCAGTGAAGCATTCCGCTTAACTATTACCAGAAAGGATATTCAAACTCTAAACCATCTCAACTGGCTCAATGATGAGGTAATCTTGTACTCTGTTTTTGTATCCAAATAGTTTAAGTGATTGCAAAATAGAAACTAAATGAAGGTAGGAAGTACCATGTATCCTGAGATAATCTGCTTCAGAATCACAGAGCCCTCCTTTTTCCTGAATAAGTAAGTATGCACGGTGTATGCTGGACAGATGCATTTTTAACAAGTATCTTAGGTGACTTGTAAAAGAACCACTGAATTTACCCCTAGAAGCCTGGTGAGAAACGCTATTGTGTAGAGTTGCTATGAGTTGGAATGAACCTAGTGGGTTTGGGTTTGTTTTGTCTCTACTTGTTCTAGGTCATTTAACTTCTGAGAGAGAAGCTTTCTAACATCATCGCCCTTAATACTTTTTTTAACTGGCATTTTAAAATTACATTATTATTAAATAGTTGATGTAGTCGGGGATGGATTGAGTATGCCCTCAATTCCATTTATAAGCATATTTAATTGCACTATAATCTTTAAACTGATCTGCCCAATTTCTAAACCTGTTTTCTTTTAAAAGAATGTTTTCATGGCAAAAAAAGCTGATTTGGGTCTCTTTACCCAAATACCACTAGACGCCACCTGTCTAACCTGGGTGTACTCAGGCTTCACGGCTCTGGAGGAATTCAAGATGCGCAGTATAGTAAGCGTTAGGTATTGCAGGGACCCGTTTCTTATTATTGTATACCTGGTGGCGTAGTGGTTGGGCTGCGATCCACAAGTTCGGCTGTTCGAAGCCAACAGCTGCTCTGCAGAAGAAAGATGGACTTTCTACTCCCGTAAACAGTTAAAATCTTGGGAGCTCAAACCATCAGTTCTACTGTGCCCTATAGGGTTGCTATGAGTTGGCATTGACTTGATGGCTGGGCATTTGGTTTTTGTTGGGAGTTCAAATCATACTATATAGGGCCAACATATTAATATGTAGCCTTATAATAACATACACAGCTAACATTTATATTTACCTCATATTAGGCATGGTAGGCTATAGTTTTATTTTATTTAATAGCTGAGGAAACCTGGGTGGCATAGATAAGGGAACCATATTTTTGTCTAGTAGTTGATTTTCTTCAGGGTCAGCTGAACTGACCCTATTCTCTTTGTCTTTGATTTGTTTATAAGATGTAAGCATTCAAAGCTCATTGTTCCCAGAAACATATCTTTGACCAAGAACAGTAGGGAAGGCACAACTAGATAGTCTTGCTTTAGAGGAAAGCACCCTTATATCTTTGGGTTCTGAAATATGTAACATTAGAACATTGGATCAAATAATAGGAGGAAGAAAGATCTCACTGGATCCAAGGGTAAAGTGAAAATGAAGGACGGGCAAAAGTACCCAGTATGATTTTGAGACCATCTCTAGTTTCCTGCCGCCGTTCCTTTGGCTTGTCTTTGTTGAAGGGGAGTGTTCACTTATTCCAACTGATGGCAGCCGTTCTTGCACATTGTGTGGCACTTTCTAGGGGCAGCAGAGAGTAGGGTATGAGCTGGATTCTTACTTGGTGCTGCGGTAACCTCAATGACACCCTTACAGAGGCAGCATTCATCAGGACAGATTTCCATTCCCTGGGCCCATTCGAGCCTGGATTTTTAGCAAGCAAAGTTAATGGAAATTACATTACTTAGAGGAGGCAAGTGAAAGGAAAGATTCTTTGTCTACTTTATCCTTCCCACACGTAGGGAGTGTTTACCTTTTCAAGTTCAGAATAATGTTAACCTTGAAAGCAGGTGCCAATTCACGTGTTCATCATGATGACTTGAACTGGTTTTTAAAGCACCATTTTCAAAGTACCACTTTTCTAAAGCTTTTCACAATATTGCCCTTGAGAAGCTAATATTCTGATGGTGTATTACTGTGAACCCTTGAGTATTGGTACCCAGTTAAAAACAGATTTAAACCCAAGCATATCAGTGGTCATATCAAATGCATAGATGATCTACACTACCACTATCCAATAGAAATGTGAGCTACATTTGCGATTTTAAACTTTCTGGTAGTCACATTAAGAAAAGTAAAGAAGCAGTTGAAATTAATTTTAATAATATATTTTATCCAATCATTTCCGTGTATATAATCAATTTTAAAATATTGCAATATCTTAACCTTTTTAATACAAAAACAAAAACAGTTACTAGTGAGTGGCCTCTGGCTCATGGTGAGACCCATGATGCTCCAAAGGGTTTTCAATGACTACTTTTTTTAATCATACAATTAAGTAGTTTAATCTTATTTAAAAATTATACAATCATCACCACAGTCAATTTTCTTTTTTTTTTGGTTGTTGGCAGACTTCCTGGAGTCCTCTTTCCTTTTCCTTTTATTTATTATTATTATTTTTTAAATCATTTTATTGGGGCTCATATAACTCATCACAGTTCATACATACATCAATTGTGCAAAGCACACTTAAACATTTGTTGCACTCATCATTCTCAAAATTCGCTTTCCGCTTGGGCTCCTGGAATTAGCTCCTCATTTTCCTTTT